GGAGGTCTCAGGTTACTTAAGGAATGAGAGGATTATGCAGAAAACCGAGCAAGGCCGGCAGCATGCCCAGCCGTTCCCTCTCCCTCTCGGGTGGGTGGGGGGCTCGGGGCTTGTCCCCTCACCTCACCCCTCACCTCACCGCCAGTCTGTCTGCGGGTCAGACTGTTGTCCTCACAGGGTTTTAATTGCCTAATTTTTCAGAAGGAGTGCTCCAGGACTTCCCTCCTAGTCTGTCTTAGGCAGTACCGCTGGGATCTGTCCACCACAGATGGGGGCTGGCTGAACGGGAGGGCCTTGGCCAGGAACCGAACCCCAGTGTCTGCAGAGAAGGGGGGACTTCTGCCTTGAGCCACACGCCTGGTGTTTGGAACCTAGCACTCAGCTGAGAGCGGCAGCCCACGTTTGCGCTTCTCAGAGAACGTGGCAATGGCCGTATGGTGCGGGCGTGGGACAAAGGGGGGAGGGGTCTCCCCACCATGTCTGCTCCCTGAGCAAGCAGGAAGTCACCCAGAGTCCAGCGCGTGTGCCCATGTGGCCTTGACCGTCTGTTGCTGTGGGACAGTTCAAAGTGGTACGCTGATAGTCTTTGGGAACAAGAACGGGCCCGTGTGTTCACTGAGTGCGTGCAGGTCAGTCTCTGTCAGAGGTCAGGCCAGGATGGCCTCACTTCATGAGGGATGTCATCTTGTTTACTCGTCACTGAGATGTTTCTGTAGATAACCCTCACGGATCCTTTCAAACAACAGAGAAGCACAGTGACAGGATTCAAACTCCTGTTTCAAACTCCCAGCGTTCCCTCTGGGCAAGACGGCGCCCTCCTTTGATGTCCCTGGTGGGAGAGTGAAGTGTGCAGGGGCAGAGGGAGCTGCAGGCTGAAGATGGGGTGGGGAAGTGGTGGGGGCCAGCACCCACTGTCAGCACAGGCTCTGTCCAGCAGTCGGTTTAGACGTGGCCGAACGTCACGGTTAGTACAGTTTGGGAGAGACGGCAGTCTCGACTCTTGCGTTCACGGTGAGAGAGAGATTTTAAGAAATGCTCACCCCAAATGGCACCCCAAACA